TGTATCAGGGATCCAACTCCTAGGGACTTTGCGCTTGCAAGGGAGGCGGTGGAATCACTGAGCTAAACCCGGGGTCATTAAATTTTTAATTTTCACTGGTTCCTTTAAAAAGCAGTTTCAATTGTTTTCAAGCTATTACTCTAAATAGAATTAGCTGATTTAGATATTCGGGTCCATATTCGCAGAGTCCCTTTTTAAAGCTGAGATGGTATGGAAGTCAGCTTTTTCATGAACAAAACATCGGCTTTACATTCTACTTTTCAAGAATCCTGTACCAAAAAAAAAGCACGGTTCTTGTGACCCTGGGTCCCTAAAATGGATGAAAAAATAGTAGGCAAAAAGAAGTTATATTTTGCCCTTTCTTTTCCAGCTTTAAAATAATTTCAATAGCGTTCTAAATTATCTCTTCCAAAAATAACTGAAGGTTAATTTAGGTCACTTCTATCCAATGGCGTGAATTCAATCTCTATGGCACCTGCTATTAATTAATGTCTCCTTTTCTTGCATGTAAGAAGGGGAAATCGAAGCGCCTTAAACATCTGTCGCTACTCTGTCGACCGATGGAAGGATCTTCCATTTGGACGTTAAAAACACTTTCGGGAAGGGACAGGGTGGGCTGCGTATCGGAGAGCCGCTGCCAAGCCCGCGCGCCCGGTTCTGAATTCTTCACCTTATTTAGATATCACCACCCACCCCCTGGGAACAGCCGAACCAGTCAATCACTCGGTAAAGGAAGTGGCAGCAAGCAGTTCCTGACCCGGAATCAGCTCGTGGTCCCGCCCCCTCGCGTCAGCCTTCCTTCTGCAACAGGCGTGGGTCACGCTCGCGGTCGGTCTCTTTCTGCCGCCATCTTGGTTCCGCGTTCTGTGTACAGTAAGTGTTTTCTGCGCCTTAATTCTCTATCCATGGCCATCCTCCTTTCCTGTGGGCCGAGCCGCCCCGGGGACATAAAATTTAAGGAGAGTTGTAGTCTTTGTAGGAATACAGGGGTTCCTACTCGTCCCCGAGCCAACGGACAAAATGGGGTCTGGGGTTGCTGTCCTGGCAAAAGTAGGGCGTAATGAGCCGGGGACTTAGCTCAGTGATTCCGCCGCCTGCATCTCAAGTGCAAACTCCCGAGTTCGATCCCCGGTACCAAAAAGAAAAAGTAGGACATAAGGGCCGCGGACGGGGAAAGGAGCCTCGGCAGGGGAATTTGGGAGCCATTACAGTGTTGGGAGACAAAGACGGTGTCTGTTGTTGGGAACAGCTTCATATGAATCCGGAGGAGGCTAAGGGGTCACAACCTTTAGAATCCGAGCACCGTTCTAACGAGAGGGAAGAGTTGGGACTTAAGGCATCCTCTTCACTGGCTCTCGGAAGTCGTGAGGGAGCCCTGGAGGCCCAGCCCGGGCAGCGTGAATGTCAGAGAGGAGCGGACTCAAGGGTAGCGGCTAAGGTCTCCCCTGGGCAGGAACCAGACCAAGCGAGAACGTCCTTGGGCTAAGAGCGCAGTGGTGACTGCTGGCCTTGTGGGATCAGGAACACAGTGAACCCTGGACACTGGGAAATCCGCGTTCCTTCCGAGGAGTGAGGAGAATTGGTGAGATGATGATTCTCTTGGTAGAGAGATCGAAGATCATGTCATATTTTCCACCCGTTTCCAGCCACTTAACAGCCCTCCTCAGAGTTTTTAAGAACACTTGACTCTGGTTTGGGCAGGTCACTACATCCCAGCCAATTTAGGCCTCCTTTTTATTCCCTTCCTTCAGAAATGCCCGGTGAAGCCACAGAAACCGTCCCTGCTACAGAGCAGGAGTTGCCACAGCCCCAGGCTGAGACAGGTAGGTTCCCATACCCATCTTACTATTAAGATTGACCCTAAGACTATTTGTCGGGTAAAAAAGAAGAAATACACTTATGCCATTTATAGTTCGCTGTCATTTAAAAAAAAAAAAAAGGTTGCAGCTTTACCAGAAAGGAGAGGATTGACTGCTACTCTGCTAGGACTTCTTTAGAAGGATGAAATAAAATATGTAAGATTCATAGACATTGAAAGTTCTCCAGCTTGCTCTGAGAGTTATGTCTGCTGCCTCAAAAAGGAACCACCACTTTACGTAGGAATGCTAAAGCAAGGAAAGAGCACAGTGATGGTACCTATGGGAACTGGATGGCGCACAGGCTGGCTAAGGCAACCTGAGCTTTTGTGAAGTTACAGCCAGCAAGTTACAACAAGGTTTTGGATAGCAGAGCTTGGCATTGTGCCTTCATCACGTGTCTGGATGAGTTATGTGCTGGTGATAAATGTGCCCTACTGAGCCTCATAGTGCCTGGAAGTCGGTTAACTTCTGTTCTAGGGGTTGGTGCTGAGATATTTCTATTATTTCAGAATAGTACCTAGACCACTGTCTGGGTCCTAAAATTGAAGTCCTTCCTTTTACCTTCAACATTGAAATTAATGAGAGCTGTACATGGTGGTGCAGGACAATAATTCCCAGCACTGGGAGGATGGATTGGCCTAAAGTTCAAGACCGGCCTGGACAACATAGTAAGGCCCCGTCTGAAAATAAAGAAATGGGCATGAAGGCAGATTTTCAGTTTTGGTTAAAACAATTCTGTGGAAAACTTGAAGTAGTGAAAAAAAGTGTAGATAGTCTTGTTGAGTAAGTTGTGCAAAACTAAATGAAAGTAATCTTTAGGTCAATGGTGGCAAATCTTTTAAAGTTTTTAATGATAACGGCCGGCTTCACCACCACTGCTTTAGGCTGTAGCTTCCACCCAACACACACACACACACCCCTGTCACTTAAGGAGCAGTTTCTGTCTCCTTTTGGAAGTAAACTTGTTTATAGTTGAAAGCACTAAGGTTCTCCCACCTGTCTGATGAAAGCAGCTGAAGGGATTATTACAGCTGCTGGAAAAGAAAGGAGGGAGCCCCTGAGCTGGGAAATAAGCAATGTGAAATTCCCTACAAGAAACAAGAGAAAAAATAATGGGCTGGTCTCCAGGACTCCTATAATCTCAGTATAATTTTAGAAATAGTGTCATTGAATGGATTAATTTTATGAATTCAGAGGTTGACTTTCAAATGAATTTAAGATAATTCGGTTCCCAGATTCTAAACTAATGGGTTTTTTTGTTTTATTTGGCAGTACTGGGAATTCAGCTAAGAGCTTTTCACTAAGACTGAGCAACATCCCCAGTCTTTTCTTTGTACAGTATGAAGGAGAGGGTGCTCTTAAACTTGACATTTTCCTGCCTGAGCCTTCTGGAGTGTTGGACTGCAGATTTGCACCACCCCACTGGTTCAATTAGTATTAATTTCTGGAGCAATCCTTCATGCTTTTAAAATATATTGTACATGAGATTTATAGTAATAAAGGAATACCCATGATAAACACTTAGGATTTTGTCTGTAGCTCTAATTAATCTTACTAGAATGAATGAAGATGTTAGCTCCAGCTGGACATGTTACCCACAGCTGTAATTGCAGCACTAGGGAGGCTGAGGCAGAAGGAAAGATTACCAAAAGTTCAAAGCCATCCTGGACTAAATAACAAGACCATGTCTCAAAAAAATAAAAGTTAGCTGAGGGAATTTGTTATGGTGTCAGAGGAAGTTATTTGAACCTTATTTCATATTGAAGTCCTGAAAGAAGAAAGCATATTCCTTGTTTAAATTCTTAATCTATCTGAAAGTGTTGCCCTGGAGTCATAAGACTTTGACCTACAAGTTCTCCAGGAAAAACTGGTTGAACCACCTTTTTTTTTTCCATCAGATGCTACAAGGCTTTTAAAAGTACATAGTTGAGTGGGTTGTGAATTTGGATGCTGTCAGGTGGTGGTTTTTTTTTTTTTTTACATTCCCAGGCATTGAACATTTGTTCATCTAGTCCAGTGATGGCAAGTCTTTTAGAGCTTTCTAGTAGTAGTAACAACCCACTGCTGCAAGCATGCCATTGGTTCACCACCACTGATCTAGTCCGATTTTCTCCTGGATGACAGATATGGTACTTTTCCCCCTCATTTAGAAAACCTTTTACTTAGTTTCTCTTTAGTGCCAAATATTGGTCTATTTTGACAGAATGACATACTTACCAGATTAAGGGGTAAGAATCCAGCAGTCTTTTCACTTTAATTCTCCTAAAATAGGGTCACAGCCTGGTTGGACAAGTTTGGTCACAGTTTCATAATATAGTTCCTACCCTTGTGACTGAGCTCTCTCCCTGAAGGTGTAGTTCATCTTGGTTTGATGTCAGAAGAGCTGATCTATTGAGCTGACATTCTGAAGAGTTTCAACTTTAATAGAATTATGCAAGGCACCCCTTTCTAAAACTTTATTGTAAGGTTTTTTTTTCTAGCCTAATGAAGCCTGAGAATATAAAAACCTATTTTTCTAATTCCCCATTATCACCACTCACTACCTTACTTGCATATTCCAGTTTTCATTGTGTTTCAGTTAGTTCATAATCTTTGGGTGGACAGGGTAGCACAGCTATTGGTCATAATTCTATTGGCTATTAGAAAAGAACGAAATAGGATCCATTTCAGGATAGAAGGGTCCAACTGGGAAAGGGAATAGAAAACATGTTGTTCCCAACCCATTCCTGGGCCTGTGCTCTCTGTTTAGAGATAGATTGCTGTTAGATACTTTCTCACCCTGAAATAGTTGGTGTATTTTTGGTAGAACTTGAAAAGTGCGGGACTTGAGAATGATGTAGTCTCACTTTACCAGTGACTTATATTTGGGGGAAGATATGGTGTTGCTTGTCACCTTTGTTTGATCTTGTGTGGTGACCTTCATTTGCAGATCTAAAATCCCATTGATTTTGTGAGGCATGTTATGCCATGTTGGGCTGCATAACTCACCTTTTTTTTCTTCTTCTTCCCTTTTTTATCTTCTTTTTTGCTTTTATCCTCCAGCTGTTCTTCCTATGTCTCCAGCCTTGAATGTCACTGCTGCCTTAGGGCAGCCTGGATCTACCCCTACCCCTCCTTGCTCCCTGGCCCCACAACAATCCCCTGTATCAATTGCAAACCAGTCATCCCCATTCCCCTCTCCCTCCACTAGTAGCTCAGTCCCTTTAGAGGTTCCTTTTCCCCAGCCAGCCTCAGGAATGACTATCCCTTTGGAAATTTCCCCTGATACCCCAACTTTCCTACCACACCTGATAGGGCCTCCTATCTCCCCAGCTGCCTTAGCCCTGGCCTCTCCCATGTTAGGGCTGAAAGGTGCCCACTCCTGTTCAGCTCCTTTGGCTCTGGTTGCATTGGCTCCCCACTCAGTTCAGAAGAGTTCGGATGTTGTAGCTGAGTCTGGGCCAGTGACGTCTCTGTCAGCTCCCCTTAGTCCCTCAGAAGGAAAGACTTCTCCCATTCAGGTTCCTTCTCAGGTAGTGCCTAATCCAAAAGATACTACCCCAAACCTTCCAGTTACAGTCAGTGGTGTTCCTTCCCACCCTATAACTCCCCTTGTCTCTGCTGAATCTAGAGTATCCTACTGTCCTCAGATACCACCTATCACTTCTCCTCAGGTCAAAAGTATCCCAGTTTCCCCAGCCCTGATGCCACAAAACCCATTAAGCCCAAGCCTAAAGGGGCCTATTAGTTCACCTGCTGCCTTCTCTCTTCCAACCCAGTCTGTTCCTGCAGTGACCTCTTCCCAAAAGACTGGAACTTCAAATATCCCTCTCACTTTCCCCACTTCTCTGAGCACTCATCTTGCACCTTTACATCAGAGTTCTTTAGGCTCTTCTATTCAACCTTTAGGTCAAACAGGTTCTAACATCCTGTCAAGTCCTGTAATGAATACTATTTCTGTAGATCATTCTTCCATGGGTACCTCTTATCTATCTCAGAGATCTGAGATTCCTCCTATTCCTTCCAGAAGTGAGCTGGTTGCAGGTGCTATGGCTTCCCTTCCAGTTGGGGCCCCACCCTCAGCTCTAGTTATTTCTGTTGACAAAAGCCACTCTACCATCACTAATGTAACCTCCCACAGTCCTTCTTTTTCCCCAGCTGTAGCTACTACTTATTCATTGTCTCCTACAACCTCTCTCATTCTCAAAGGCCCACGTAATGCTGCTCATCAGCCTTTGGTAACCCAGAGTTCTTCTTCTCCTGGAACAGACTTAAAAGAAATGTCTGTCTCTTCTGATAGAACTGCTCAGCTTATGATAACTAACCCCTCCACGACTTCTACAGTAAATTCTGCCTTTGAAGTAGCTAAGGAGCTTCCTACTCCTCAGGTAGCAGGTACTCCTGGGATACCGTTTTCTCCACTGCCAGCTCCTGAAGACTATAAATTTCTTCCCACTTCAGTATTGGTAAATGCAGGTGCTCCTCTTTCTCCGGCCCAGGGAGGACTCCCTACCAAGAAAGACCCTACTGATCTACTGTCTCTGGCCTCAGCACCCCCTAAAAATTCCTCCTCTGTCCAAAGTATATCATCTCTGGAAATAACTTCTCCTGGAGCCACTGTAACAAAGAAAAGCCTAATGGGGCCTCTCCCTGTAGCTGAGCCAGCAGGTGCTACTGCTGCTTCTCTGGGTGTCAGTTCCCCATTCTCTGTAGTTAAAACAGATGTTTATGCAAGCCCAGACTCCACTAGTCTATTTCTCAAAAGTTCTGTAACAGCCCCAACAGTGCTTGCAGTTCCTTTGGAAAGTGCTGGCCCTGTGGGAGTGGCTCCTACAACTGACAAAGATACCTCCGCTCCTACAACTACAGCCAGTCCTTTTGTAGGAGCCCTCTCTTCAGCTCCTAAAACCCACCCAGCTAAAAAGGGTAGTTGCACTCTTACTACTTTACCTTTGGTTCCATCAGCTTCTGAAAGTTGCCCTATAGCTCCCACTGTGAATTTATCCCCCCAGAATGTTTCTGTTTCTGCAGTTACCATGGCACTGGCCTCTGAAATTCCCCAGTCTGTGCCTTTTCCCACACCTCCACCAGCTGCCATTTCTCCTCGTGCAGAGAAATTTGGTATTTCTCATACCTCAGCATTGGTGCCTTTGGGTTCCTCTCCTGAAGGGCATCCGAGTGAAGACTCTGGTGCTGTTACTGCATCTTACCTGGCTAATTCCCCATCTCCCCTAAAGACTGGCATTTCTCTTCAGACTAAAAGATCAGCAACCTCGAAGAGTTCCGCTGTCGCTGATGGTCTGACTGGAAATGTCTCCTGTGTTTCTCACATTGAAGCTTCTTTCCTTCCAGAGGCTAGTCTTTCTTTTCAAGGCCCTAAAGAATCACTAACCAAGAAGCAGTCTCCCTCTCCTCCATCCCCTAAAGAGGTCCCAGCAAGCCTCTTCCCCACAGAGGCCCCTAACTCCCTATTTGTGGCTCCTCCATCTCCTAAAAAGGCCCTGGCAACCCTCTCCCCTAAGGGGACCCCCACTATCCCAACCAAGACTCTTTCCTCCCACAAAAAAGCCCCAGCAACCTCATCCCTCAAAGGGTCCCCCACTGCCCCAGCCAAGACTTCTACCTCCCCCAAAAGAATTCTCACTCCAGCTGAGATTGATCCTTCTCCCCAAGAGTTCTTAGCAACTGCAGCTCCCAAAGAGACCCTAGCAACCTCCTCTTCCAAATCTCCCCCAAGTGAGATTCCCTCCTTAACCGAAAAGGCCCCAGCAACTCTCCAGACTGAGATTTCCCCCTCCCCAAAAAAACCCACAACAACTTTAGCCCCTAAGAAGACCTCAGCAACTCAGTCCCCCAAAGAGGTCCCCTCTCCTCTGGCTGAGACTCCTCCCTCCCCCAAAAAGACCCCAGCAACCCCCTCTTCCAAAGGGACCCCCACTGCCCCAGCTGAGACTCCTTCCTTCCCAAAAAAGACTCCAACAACTGCAGCCCCCAAAGAAACCCCAGCAACTCCATCCTCCAAAAGGGTCCCCATTTCCCCAGCTGAGATTCCTCCATCCCCCAAAAAGGCAACCCCATCTTCCAAAGAGGCCCCAGCAACTCCATCCTCCAAAGAGATCCCAGTAACCACCTCTTCCAAAGGAGTCCTCACTCCCCTTGCTGAGATTCCCCCTTCCCCAAAAAAGGCCTCAGCAAATTCAGCCCCTAAAGAGACCTCAGCAACCCCCTCTTCCAAAGGGACCCCCACTCCCCCAGCTGAGATTCCCCTCTCCCCCAAAAAGGCCCCAGCAACCCCCTCTTCCAAAGGGACCCCCACTCCCTCAGATGAGACTCCTCCCTCTCCCAGAAAGGCTCCAGCAACTGCAGCCCCCAAAGAGACCCAAGGGACCCCCATTTCTGCTGCTGAGATTCCTCCCTCTCCCAAAAAGGCCCTAGCAACTGCAGCCCCTAAGACCTCTGCAACTCAGTCCCCCAAAGAGATCCCCTCTCCTCTGGCTGAGACTCCTTCCTCCCTCAAAAAGGCCCCAGCTGAGATTCCCTTCTCCCCAAAAAAGGCCCCAGCAACCCTCTCTTCCAAAGGGACCCCCACTCCTCCAGCTGAGACTCCCCTCTCCCAAAAAAAGGTCCCAGCAACTGCAGCCTCAAAAGATATCCCAGCAACCCCCTCATCCAAAGGGGCCCCTACTCCCCCAAGTGAGATTCCCTCAACCAAAAAGGCCCCAGCAACTCCCCAAACTGAGATTTCCCCCTCCCCCAAAAAACCCACAACAACTTCAGCCCCTAAGAAGACCTCAGCAACTCAGTCCCCCAAAGAGGTCCCCTCTCCTCTGGCTGAGACTCCCCTCTCCCCCAAAAAGGTCCCAGCAACTGCAGCCTCCAAAGATAGCCCAGCAACTCCCTCTTCCAAAGGGACCCCCACTCCCCCATCTGAGATTCCCCTCTCCCCAAAAAAGGCCCCAGCAACCCCCTCTTCCAAAGGGACCCCCACTACCCCAACCAAGACTTCCTCCCAAAAAAAGGTCACAGCAACTCCATCCCCCAAAGAGGCCCCCACTGCCCCAGCCAACACTCCTCCCAAAAAGGTCCCAGCAACTGCAGCTCCCAAAGGGGTCTCCATTCCTCCAGCTGAGATTCCCCTCTCCCCCAAAAAGGCTTCAACAACTGCAACTCCCAAAGATGTCTCAGCAGCCACATCCCCTAAGGGAGCCTCCATTTCCCCAAATATGGTCCCTGCTTTCCCTAAAAAGGCCCCGGCAACTGCAGCCCCCCGAGAGGCCCTGGCAGCCCCATCCCCCAGTGAGGTTCCCACTTTACCATCAGAGACTCCTCCCATGCCCCCAAAAGCCCCAGCAGCTACAGCCCCCAAAGAGACCCTAGCAACCCCGTCTCCCAAAGGAGCCCCCATACCCCCAGCTCTGGTTCCTTCTTCCCCTAAAAAGGCCCCAGCAGCTGCAGCCCCCAAGGAGACCCCAACAACCCCATTCTCCGGTGGAGTTACCAGTCCTCCAACAGAGACTCCTCCCTCTTCCAAAAAAGCCTTGACTCTGGCCTCCCCACAAAAGGCCTTAGCAACTGAAGCCCCCAAAGAGGCTCCCAATTCCACAACAGAGACTCCTTCCTCCCCCAAAAAAGCCCCAGCAACTGCAACTCCCAAAGAGGCCCCAACCACTCCATCTTCCAAAGGGGGCCCTACTCCCACAGACAAAGCTCCTTCCCCACAAAAGCATTCAGCAACCTCACCTTCCAAAGGGGTCTCATGTGCCCTGGCTGTGACTCCTCCCTCCCCCAAAAATATAAGAGAAACCACAGCTTCCAAAGAGGCCCCCACTCCACTGGTGACTCCCTCCAAAAAGACCCCATCAACCAAAGGGACCACCCCTGCCCCAGCCAAGACTCCTTCCCAAAAAAAGGCCCCAGGAGCTACAACTCCCAAAGAGAGCCCTGCTCCCCAAGTTATGACTCCTGCCTCCAAAAAGGCCCCAACAACCCCATCTTCCAAAGGGGCCCCAGCAAACCCACCCTCCAAAGGAGCTCTCTCTTCAGCTATTACTCCTCACTCTCATAAAAAGGCTCCAGCCCACAAAGGGGCCTCCACTCCCTCAGATGCAACCCCTCTCTCCTCCAAGGAGGGCCTGGTTATTCCATCCTCAGAAGGGGCCCCCACTTCTCCAGTTGCGACTCTTCACTCTCATAAAGAGGCTTCCATTTTTCCAGCCACTGTTTCTTCCTCCCCTAAAGGCTTCCCTATTCCCCCAGTGTCACTCAAAAGTACCTCAGGGGCTGTTGCCCCTCAGGCATCAGAAGGGCTCCTACCAAAGAAAGGCCCCACTCATATGAAAGAAGTACTTGTTGCCCCAGCTCCAGCAAGTGCATCAGTTACTGAGGCTCCTGCTCAAAAAGGCACAGGGGCTGAGAATTCTGCTACTCTGCCTCCTAAGTGTTCAGATCCTTCTGCTAAGAATAATACTAAAGGATCCCATTCTACCGTGGCTCCAGCTCCTCTACTGACAGCCCACATTCAGAAAGATTCTTCAAAGACTACAAAAGCCCTCCATATTTCTTCTGCAAAAGGCAAAGATTCTTCTCATTCTGCAAAGGGTCCCTTGGCTGCTCCTCCTGAGTCTAAGACATCCACCCATCTAACAGCAGTGGCCTCTGAGAAAATCCTTCCTAAAGCTGGATCAACATCTGTTTGTCCCACACCCAGCCCACCAGTCTCCCTGCCTCTTGCTCCTACCCCAGTTCCCCCTCTGCTTCCTAAACAGCAGTTTCTGCCGTCCTCACCTGGGCTGGTGCTGGAATCGCCCTCTAAGCCCCCAGCCCCTGCTGATGAGGATGAGCTGCCGCCTCTGATTCCCCCGGAACCAATTTCTGGGGGCATGCCTTTCCAGTCGGTCCTCGTCAACATGCCCATCCCCAAACCAGCTGGAATCCCTGCCCCAACCCCCTCTGCCAAGCAGCCTGTTTTGAAGAACGACAAGGGTATTTGCCTTGGTTTGCTGTGTGCATGGTGTGTTGCCCACACCCCTCTTGGGGACTGCCCACCAGTACTAACCCTAGGATGCGCCACTTTCTCCAATATATCTGCTTGAATTTGAACGTGGTACATAGAATGATAATTTCAAAGGCAAAAAGCTGTAGGAATACAAAATTAAGTCTTGGTTGTCATTATCTCAGACAGTACTTTGTGTTTTATATAATATACATACTGAACTGTGGATTTGCTGTCCTTTTTACCTAACTGTTCTGACATTGAAAACCAAGACCTATCAAACCTTTAATTCGCTCTAATCTTACCACATTGCTAACCTTGTCCCTGGGCCTGGGATTTGCTAAAAATTTTGGGGAATCGGGGGCTGTTTTTGTTTTTATTTCATAGACTTAGTAATGACCAGTTCCCCAGGGATTTCCCTTTCTTAAAAATGTAGGCACCATGGGCCGGGGATTTAGCTCAGTGGTGCCGACGTCTGCCTCTCAAGCGCAAGGTCCCGAGTTTGATCCCCAGTACCCCCCAAAAAAATGTAGACACCTGTTTTTTTCCTAGAGAATGGTGCTGGTAAATGCTTTTTTCCTGAGTAGTCTTTAGTGATGCTTGGCCTTTCAATTAAGAGAAACATAATGTGAATTACATGTGGAAGAAATGGGGGAAGTCACAGGACAGAGAGAAAGTGACTTTTAGAACTTGACATTCATGATCTTCCAGAGAACTGATTAGATTAAATTACTAGAATGAATGCTTTGAAAATAAGGCCAAATGTGTATACACAACTGTTTCTGGCCTGTTCTGCCTTGTCACTGTATTGTTTTTTAACTTGTATATCTGAAGATAACCTTTTGCCCAGAACCTTTCTGAGATGATTGAGCTATTGGAGTTTTATAGGTGGTTTGTGGATACCTATGCCAAGAAATGCAGATCTTAAGGAAAAGAAAGCAATTGTAATACTAAAAATGTTCAGCTATATCTAGTGATTATCCCTCATTTCTAGAGATGAATCTTTAATAGATACATATATGCTAGTTTGAGTTAAGGGCTTTCAAGCTGGATTCACACAAGTTAGTTGATTTACATTTAACATTGTAAGGCCTAGCATATAGCAGTGATCTCTACTCCAGACAAACTATAGTAAGCACATCCTTAAATCTCTACTGTAAAATTATAAAAGTTGTTTGTCACCTTAGGGTCTGGAACAGAATCTGACAGTGATGAATCAGTACCAGAGCTGGAGGAGCAAGATTCCACACAAGCAACCACACAACAAGCCCAGGTCGGTATTCTTTACTAAATGGGTAGTGTAAGTACTACACATGAGTTGAGGGAGCGCTGAAGAACCCATTAATCAGGCCTAACTTTTGTATTTGATTCTGTAAATCTTGGTAAAGAAAAACCACATAGAGATGGTGATATCTAGATCTTGGTTCCATTTAACTCAGCTGTTTTATCTTTAGCTGGCGGCAGCAGCTGAAATCGATGAAGAACCAGTCAGTAAAGCAAAACAAAGTCGGAGTGAAAAGAAGGCACGGAAGGTAAAACTTTTAAGTTACAAGGATTAGAGGTTGTGATGAAGCAACTTTAGAGTAGAACATTTGCACTGGCATTCTTGGTAATAGTAGAGTACTGTGTAGTAACAAGTTACTATGGCAAAAAAAAGAGTCCTGAAAGCTGATTTTCTACTCTTAATTTGTATGAATTTTTCTTAACCTAGTAAAAGTCTGCTTTAGATTGTTTTTTGTTTGTTTGTTTGGTGCCAGGGATCAAACTCTGGACCTTGCACTTGCGCGGCAGGCAGCAGAACCACTGAGCCAAACCCCTGGCCCAGTCTGCTTTAGATTGATGCTGTGTTCTTTGTTTTCTGATGCTGTTTCTAAAGTTGAAACTTAATGTTCTTCTATGTTCTTTAGGCTATGTCCAAATTGGGTCTTCGGCAGGTTACAGGGGTTACTAGAGTCACTATCCGAAAATCTAAGAATATCCTTTTTGTCATCACAAAACCAGATGTTTATAAGAGTCCAGCTTCAGATACCTACATAGTTTTTGGAGAAGCCAAGGTAAGCTGCTGTAGGCCAGCACTATTGACATTTTGGGTTATATAATTCTTTATTGTGGAAGCGCTATCCTGTGTATCATAGTTGTTTAGCTGCTTTATATCTAGTATGATAACCAAAAAAAATCTTTAAACTTTGCCAAATAGCCCATGAAAACATAATTACCCAAAGCTGAGAACATATTCCTAAGCTACTTCTCTTTCCTTGATAGTCTGAGTCAGGAGATGCATTTTATTATATATAGTAAATTATCTGAAATGGATTTATTGAGAATTCTGAAAAGGTATATATAATTTCTCTTTCATTTACTGTAAACTAATCTGTTCACATGGATCTATTCTCTGCTCTCTAGATTGAGGATTTATCTCAGCAAGCACAGTTAGCAGCTGCTGAGAAATTCAAGGTTCAAGGTGAAGCTGTCTCAAACATTCAAGAAAATACACAGACTCCAACTGTACAAGAGGAGAGTGAAGAGGAAGAGGTATGCCACCAGGAATCTTTTTTACTCTTAATCTCTGTTTAGCAGTAGTAATCTGTGATGGTAGATGGGATTACAGGCATGTGCCACTACACTCAGCTAGATTCTGTTTTGTTGCGTACTCAGTCCTCATTGAGTTATGTGACTTTTTGCAGGGGGAGGGCTTACTGGGAATCAAACTGGGGACTTTGCTTGCGAGGCAGGTGGCAGAACCACTTAGCTAAATCCCCAACCTGAGTTATGTGACTTTTTATTCATACTAAGAACTGGATTCAAGTAGATTCCCCCAACCTCTTTCTTCTTTTAGGTTGATGAAACAGGCGTGGAAGTTAAGGACATAGAATTGGTTATGTCACAAGCAAATGTATCGAGGGCAAAGGCGGTCCGAGCCCTGAAGAACAACAGTAATGATATTGTAAATGCAATTATGGTAAGCGTCTTAAGACTTTCTTAGCACCCTCTTACCTGACCAATCATAAATGAGTTTATCTTTTCTGTCTAATGTTAGCCACTTAGGAAGCCTCATTCCAAAGCCTATTTTGAATTGCCTAAGGTTTTAAGGACCTGAATTTTCCTATTTCACCACCTGTAATTGTACTTTTTTCTCTTGCAGGAACTAACAATGTAACCATCTAAAAGGAGGACTTTTTTTGGTGTTTCGAAAAGGTCACTGCAGCTTGGTTTGAAATTTGTACTGTTTCTATCACTAATAAAGTTATGACTTATTGGATGAACTCAGTGCATGTTTGGTCCCTTCACTTACCCAACCCCACCCAAAACTGAAGTCTATTCAAGATCATAGAAGAGAGTCCCACAGGTTTTCCCTACTTAAAATCCAAACTTTTTCGATTCTTGTAAAATGTTGTTATACTACATAGTGGCGCAGCACACTGTTGTTGAAAGCTCTGCGGCACACGTGCCATAGACTCCATCACTCTACTAGGCTGTTAGGACCCTCTTGTCTTCAGAGAAGACAGTAGTAGTTTCTCGTTTCCAGTTTCTTCCCAGATGTTAAGCATTAGCAGATTGTGATTCACCTAATCATCCATGTCTGAACTTTAAAGTTTACTTAAAATGGTTTGACTTTTTTTTTTTTTTTTTTTTTTTTTT